TTTATGATATGTACGGAGTCATATCTATGTTAGTGCGTGCAGTACAATAAGAAAATAGTATATTAAGAGGTTTAATAATTGCCAATTTATCATTGCACGTACTGGGTTAATGTGTCGGTTCATCGGTTAATGTGTTTGTTTCTTATTATGCTTATTATGATCATGTTGATTATCATCATATCAGCCTTTAACTGTCTACTGCAGAACATAAGCCTTCTCCCCTATTGGGGAGTTCTGCCAGTAGTTACCACGTTTAGCAGGCGGATTGGCAACCGCAGTTAGGCTTTTAGTGATGTTTTAAGGGGGACGCTGCTGCCAATCCCTCTATTATTAAGTTCCCTTAGTTGCCTCTTAGATCATTTTTGGTATAAGAATGGGTGGCCTATTCTATGCCGTGAGTACACGGCAGATTATTTATAAACAAATAGGTAAATAAACACTGTTATCTTGTTACCAAAACTACTGGTTCTATTCAGTGGATTTTGGTACTGTCGTTTTTTTCCGTATTGAAAAGATTTAGGTTTGCCTATATTACTCAATATCGTGTTCTAAGCGTCGTCTATTATCTACTATTATATGTAATATTAACATTTATTTTTATTGCTATAACGACATTGTAAAGTTTGATATTGATGTCTGCCTGTTTGTTATGAGAAAATACTATAAAAATTTCAATAAAATAACATATTTTGATAGGTGTTAGCCTCATTTAAAAATGTCATATATTTTATTAAAAATCCCTTACATGTTTTTATAACTTTTGAGGTAACACGCATAGCTAGTTAATAGCTATAAATCTAGACTCAAACTATTCCTTCTCAAACTATTTTAGGCATGAGACCCTTTTTCTAAAATAAACTGATACGTCAGAGATTTATATCTGCCGGAGATTCTTAGCACCCCTGCTCCGCTGTTACCGTGACCGCTACCGTGATCAGGAATAGAGCCGCCGGGGACTGGGGGCCGTTTTTTTACGGTGTTTACCATTGGGGGTTTTGCCAATAGTTGCCACGCGTGGCAGGCGGGTTGGTAACCGCAGTTAGGTCTTTTGGGATGTTTTAAGAGGGACGCTGTTGCCCATCCCTTGACTAAACGTTTCCTTAGTTGCCTCTTATGATACTTACGGGAAAGGAAGGGGTGGCCCATTCTATGCTGGGACCGACACGGCATATTATTATTATTATATATAATTATGTCGAAAGAGTCGATTTTCAGATTTCGTCGACCCCCAAAATCCGTATTTGTTTATGTTGACCCCTGGGAAATTGATCGATTCCTTGTAGTCGATATCGACCACTTTGGGAATCCCTGATCTAGACACAGACGGCGTAATATGTATCTGTGTCTCTTTATCGTACATAATTTGATAGAGACAGTATTATTGTAGAGACATAAGGTAGAGGTTTTATTTATCTACAAGGACGTCTATAAGCATACAATATTATCAGCGTCTCATTGTTCTTTTTATTTAGGAAAGAAAGTAAACGGTCTTTGTGTATTTGGGGCGGTTGCGTGTGTAGGTAAATAGCGAAATAATAAACTACACATACATGTACAAGTGTTTATTTATTTGTGTTATATACAAATAAATATTTACTGTAATATTTTTTCTCATAAATTACTAGCTCGAATAGTTTTTTGGATCATATATACTTTTTAGACATGTTATATACTTATGAAAAATAGCGACAAGAGTCAGTAATGAAGAAAAATTAATGAATAAATAGATAAAGTAAAATTAATGAATAAATAGTTACCACTTTCCATCAGGCGGATTTAGTAATGAATGATCTCTTTTCTTTTTATGCTATTAAGTAATTACACAATCATGGTTACTGTAAATCATTTCACAACATTTATACAGCATACAAAATGCTAGTAAAGTACAAAAAGCAATGGGATTTAAAATAAAGTCAAATTGAGCCTTTTCAGCTTCACTTATCATCTCTTACTAGTGCCCCGCCAGTGTATACTGTTAGCGTAGGCGGTGTTACCATTTCATTATCGTCCATTGAATGATTGAACCAAGACTGTATATATTGATTCGTTCAGCCATTTTAGCGTGATTGAATAACAAACTTTCTATCTTTACAAACTTTACATTTATAATATTATTACTAGTAGTACATATTCAAAGATATACATAAATCATTTTACAACATTTATACAGCATATAAAATGCTAGTACAGTACAAAAAGCTTTAAAATAAAGTCAAATTAGAGCTTCACTTATTGTTGACTGTAACGGTATGGCCACTAAAAATGGATTCAAATTTGAAACGACAGCAATACCGCCGGCTGTAAACCGTTTACAGATAGATATAAAGGCAACAAAGACCTCCGTTGTTCAGTTCACTGAAAATATTCGCGCATTTTAACGTTTCGAAAGGGCATTCTGTGAGTTTTGATGAGGCGGCAATTTGTAAAAGTATATAACGTTATTCGGTAATCGATCGATGAATGCAAATGTTATCGGTTTAAAGAAGGATTTATTAATTATCGATTGTATCATTAATTTATTTATTTAAATTTTATTGACCAATAAAATGTGGACTTAATGCTATAGGCATTTTTTACCTTTAAGATGTGCGGAGATACTCGATGGCGGTTTAAAGAATAATATTATTTATATTTATAAGTATAAGATGGAAAATTACATACATAAAAATATTCATAAAATAAACATACATATATACTAATATAATATCATCACTTTTAATTACATCGATTGTGGTCGTGGGTTTAATTGTGATATGATATTGCGAAGATTTGAAAATCTACCAGATCAATAATACTAGAGGGAGACTTTGTACAAAAGTCGATTGCTTCCTCTGTCCCATTCGTGTTTCAATCGTGAAGCAGTTGTGTTTGCATGGCTGTGTTTCGGTTTGAAGGATGGGATATGGCGTGAATTTACTAGGTACAGAGGAATAATACCTGAGTCCTCACGAATGGCAACGCATGGGGGGTATCATGGGCGAAACAGTATACTCTATTATGTCTATGGTACTGCTCATGTCTATAGGCGACGGTTACCATTTTCCATCAGGTGGGCCGTCAGCTTGTTTGTCATTCTAAGTTGTATAAAAAAAAATCTAAGTATCTCTGTAGCGATGATGAACCTCGTTAAGAAACTTATTAAATTAAAGGCATAGTATATAGTTTTAAGAATTGGTAAGGCTTGAGAAGCGCCACGCGTGTCACAGTATAGTGAGCTGTTCTGTAATTAGTCCATGGTGTTATACTCACATTTAAAAGATGGTTACCACTGCGGATTTTTCATTGTGTGGGTCCTTATAATGTCATTTTGTATTCAGTACTTAGAAAATAATTATTTAAATATAATAGGACAAAAATAAAAATCATCATCATCATCATTTCAGCCATTATCCGTCCACTGCAGGACATAGGCCTCCTCCATAGACAGCCATAAGGAATGATCCTGAGCCACCTGCATTTACTGAGTCCCTGCAATGCATTTGAGGTCGTCACTCCATATAGTGAGAGATCGTCCTACATTGCGATTGCACGAACGAGGCCGCCACTCTTCAAATTTTTCTTCCTCTTCTTCAAGTTATGTGACCAACCCATTGCCACTTCAGCTTGCTTATACTTCGGGCTAAAAATAAAAATTCATTTGAGGAAAATCGAATTCTATTATTCAATACTTTATTAATATTTAAATTGACGGCAATAAAAATAATAGTCCATAATTGACTTGTGTTTCAAAATTGCACACGTCCACTTATTAGAAACGATTTATATTATAAACGATTAGTTTTAGTATTTTCAGCTAACATTATTTAATGATACTTGTGCCTATAATTATTAATATATATCCTGTATTATACATATTTAACATATATGCATGGAATTATATAATTTTGTTTGATTGATATGTATATGTATGTATGTATATCTATATGTGTGTGTGTGTATATATATATGTGTGTGTGTATATATATGTGTATATTATATATATATATATGTATATATATATGTATGTATATGTGAATATATGTATATCATTTTCATATATTTTTAATTCTTTTTTAATTTCTATCATACCTACTTGTACAACAATTAGTCCATTACCTTAAGGTTGTCTTGAAAAGATTGCTCTCAGCAATAAGACCGCCTTACTGTACTTATACAGATGTATCGTTGAGTTTGTAAATTGCCTTGATTGTTTCCTATATTGTATAATGCAAATAAAGTATACTCATTCATTCATTCATTATTTATTGGAGATTCATATAATGAAATTTTTTATGAATAATATGCTACTATAAAATATCGTCGAGAAAAATTTATATAAAAAGAATTAGATTTTGTATCGTAATATCTAAATGATATTCATAACATGATAATTAATTAATGTAATACTATGATATTTTGAAGCAGTTTATTCTTAGAGTAAGGCTTTATTTACGTAGTTTGCGTTATTAGATAGATAGACAGATAGATAAACACTTTATTTGAGCCATTTATGACACACGTAAATTAACAAATGAGTTTATACAATCTGATTATTTACACTTTTTTAAATATAAGACAAAAGATAAAGTACACAAAATATGTTTCCACCAAGTGTGTCGCAGTGACATAAATGGGCTACAGTCAGTGATAGTTTTGCTTAAAAGCAAAGCACTGATTTTCAGCTACAGCCTGAAGTTAGGCTACACGGACGCGTACAACAAATCCAGAGTGTAACCTGTGTAACCAATTTAACAGTCAAAGGTAAAATTGTATTATATAGATACTTACATAAATGATGCATAAATAGTATATTTCATTAATTAATTAAACATACAGTAAAAATAATAATTATTATGACTAAAACCCTTCACACCAATTTTATTTTAATATTTCCCATGTACAAACATTGTCTAGTTACAATTTTATAACATTAGTAAGATTATGCCATTATCCTTATTTTTGTCAATCTTGTCTGGTATAAAAGTACAAAGCAATAAATAACAACAAGCCAGCGAGCAATTTATTTTAACTTTTAATGCGGGCTTTGGACGGAACGGAAAAAAGTTGCGACGAAAGAATCGGGCGATACTTCGTCCGCCGATGAGAAAGTTTTGTTGGGCGGGGTTTGTTCGCGCATGCGCTGTGGCTGCGCCGAAGAAATGCTGTCCAGACTTCGACGTCGACTGTTGATGACCCAACACAGCAGTAGTCGCGGTGTCGCCGCGTCATACGGACGCATTCGGGATGCACAATTGCATAACTTGCGGCCTATAGTGAAAGAAAAAAAAAATCATATAAATACGCGGCCTTCGATCCCGCCACAAAAACTTCGGACGAAGTTTAACAAACTTTCAAAGTTTGAAAAAGTTTCGAAAACTTTTTTTTTTCGCGCTGAATGAAAATTTGTCTCTTTCTCGAATAGGTATATTGAATATTTATTTTTATTTTATATTATATGAATATATTAATATAAGAAGATAAGGTAGGTGCATCTAAACTTTAGATATTTAATAAAAAAAATAATCCAAATTGTGTCCCATTATATCCTGTTTAATTATAGTTGCATAAGTATGACACTTTTATTAAAAAAAAAATATTATTATGTTGTCGTAAGCGCTAATTGAACTATACACAATAAAAGATGTACAAGATAATATAATAAAATTTAAAACAAAGGTCTTACATGAATTTCTATAAAGGAATACATAAAATTATTATCTAAGCACAAAGCGTAAAAGGTAAACTATAAATCAAAAATAAAAAAAGTTTGGACTTTTCTAATTCGTAGTCTGTTATGTGTAATTTAAAAAAAATATGTACATATCATAATAATATGTACTCATAGATAATTAAATATAATTATAGAAATATTACACTTACGCGGATTAAAAATTAGTGTCTATAATATAAATTTATTGAAGTCTACATATTTGTATTCTGTTATTTAATGATACAAAATTTATTTATCTAATTGTTTTTTTATAATTACTGAGTAAAAAAAAAATCAATGAATTAATTGTAATTATTGATAAAAATCTTCATTATTTCATATTAAAAATATACTAACTCTAATATAAAAAAAAAAAAGGTATATAGGACCATTACGAAGGTAGGAGTTACTGCTAAAAATTATTATGATAATATAATAATATTATTTGCTATAATATTATATAAGATAATTATCAAAATTACAATTGTCAAGAATATACACACAATAAAAATAAATACACAGACAAATTGAGAACCTCCTTTCTTAAAGTTGGTAAGATATGCAATACCTAATTAGTCAGCGTAGTTGGAAGCTCGTTAACCCTTAAAACAGCTTAGTAAGTTTACATTGAATATCCACATTTCCTCATTATGAAACTGAACCTCACAATAGATGCGCATTTACGTAGAAAGTGACCGCGATTAACCGAATGAACCTCCATGACGGGTAATTTGGAATTTAAATATATCCTTTTTGGAATAAAACTATTTTATACAGGCTGAAATGAAACGAGAAAATTTTTTAGTCTCTCAAATTACCACGGTTTTTTTTAAATATATCTATTTTCTTTTTAAATAAAGTACGGCCTCTGTTTCTCGCTGGTAAAGTAACTTTTTGTGTAAAATAATTTATATAATCGGATAAGTTTTTTTTTGAGCTTATTAATTACAAAACAAGAAATATACAAATCTTTCTTCTTTATAATACTAGACCCAGATTATTAATAAAAGTTTATTAAAAAATCATTACCGTAATAATAAAAAAAATTTAATTGGCACAGATCAACACTTAATGTATAAAATTACGATAATGTACGATGTATTGATAACGTGAATTTCACTAACACCATATAATTGTTTGTAACTTTATTTATTTATTTAAGGAACACCAACAGCATATTGCATTATAACATATAGGTATAACAAACATTAAATATAGTACAATATTAATGCACATGCCTATTATAGGTATTTACAGCATTTACTTTAACATAAATAATATCCAAAATAAAGAGCTACGCTATATTTGATTGACCGATTGTGGTAAAATACACATGTTTTATATTTGACCTAATAAAAACCTCTGCATATATGTAGTCTATATAGTAAAATATTCGTGTAAAGAAAAATCTAATGTTGAGAATTAGATTTTTATAATAATATTAATGATAAAAATCTAATAGCAGATATGTATTGTCGTGTGGTCCCAGAATAGAATGGGCCACCCCTTTCTTTCCCATGGGTATTGTAAGAAGCGTCTTAGGGGACCTATTGTACGAGGGATCTACAGCAGTGTTTCTCTTAAAAGACCATCGAAAATCGAATTGCGGTTGCTAATCCACCTGCCAATTGTAGTAACTACTGTCACCCCCCTTATGGTGAAGGCCAATGTTCTATAATGGACAATTAACAACTGATACGATGATAATTAAACAAAGAGTTCAAAGTTTAATATGCAAAATGTTCAAAACGTCAAATTAGTTCATATTTTTAGACATATAATACACATTCACGAGTATATATTAATGTCACACACCCGTCGGGATAGACAGAAACGATAAGACGTCAAATGTTAATTCCGGTATTCGATTCAAACGGTATAAAGTTTAATATAATGTTATCAATTTTCACGTACGAGTATATCATATGCCGGGGTCGAATTATGAAGTACCGTCCCGAAACCTACTTATCTCTGAAATTAATATTAATTGATCATGTTAAGAGTTTCTGGAACGGGCATGCATGAGCGAGGCAAGTTATCAATGTGGATGAAGTAAGAGATGCATGTATGCGTAGATATATAAACTTTTAGCAGTCTGTTTATTCATATTTGTTTGCATCTCATTTTTGTTTTTTGACATATCATATTGTTTAATTGTCACCGTAAGAAAATAAATTCAATTATTTTTATTTTACAATTATTATATGTAGCTTTGATATGTATCTAACATAGTTTTTCATCCGATATTATGTATGCAATAGCTGGAAGATTATTTACCGGCTATTATCAGAAATAAAAAATATTTTTAATCTTGAATACGTGTGTTTCATACGTATTCCCTCGGCAAAAATTAAAGCAAGAATGAATGAAAGTCAGTCATTCATTACTGCCCTCTCCAAAAATAATAAATACAAAAAATATGTAACGGATAAATGATCGAAACAATTACAATACTTAAATTCAAAATTAAAACAATTGACATTCCAATAATCTAATTAGAATTTTCGTGACAATATTTTATTAACATTGTACTATAAAATATTGTATTGTATTTATTAAAATAATAACACATTTAATAATTGAATTATAACAACGTTAACAACAATCAATTGACTATCTATTAATAGTATTAGTTAATAACAATATGTATTTGTATAAAATATAATCATATAATCTAACATATGTTATTTTTAAATTATTGTATCAATTTAATATTGTTTATTACGTTGCACTGTCAATTACATTTTCTGTTATTCCTGTCTACGGTTGACAGGTAGATAACGCCATATGGTGTTAAGTCCACAATTTACACTGTCTAGATGTACTAAGATTTAATAAAAATAAATACTTATTTATTTTATTCAATTATTTATTTTATTCGCCTATACTGGTTTCACATTTTATTAAAATAAAATACAGCTTACATTACTCGCTGATAATGTAGCTTTCGATGGATAAAAAATAAAAAAAAACAGAGTTTTTCATTTATCGATTACAACTAAAAAATAAAAAAGAAATCTTTCCTCTTCATAAAATTATTCACCATTATCATAATCATATCAGTCCTTAACTCTACAAAGAGTTTGTTAATACTTACCATGCTTGGCAAGCATATTGGCAACCACAGTTAGGCTTGGCTTATATTTTAAGAGGGACGCTGCTGTTCATCCTTCGACTATTAAGTTTCCTTAGTCGCCACGCGTTAGGAAGGGGTGGCCCATTTTATGCCATCACATGGGATCATATTAGTATTGAAGCGTTACCTATTTATTATACGCATGAAAAAGAATATAATGCTAGAATACTTAGAACGAAAACGTATCCAATAATAAATTTATTTGTCATTATTGTCTGTTGCGAAACGTGTTTTGTTGTTTTTCTACAATAATAATTAAAAAAGACATACAACAAGTACAAAATTTTACACATCCGTTTTGCGTTAATTATGATGTGTATGAATGTAAAGACATCAAATACAACTCTAAAATTTTAATCTGTGAAGAGAAAAGAAACAATAGGGACCTCAATTTAAATGGAAATTTAGAGGTTCACAATCTTCTTATATGCAAAATGATTTGTTAGATATTCACATTAATTCATATATTACTCCAGTCGACTTATTTACGTACAAAACAGTAATAAAGTTTTAGGATAAAAGCTCGGATGCGCTATTCAGCATAAACATTAGCTATTTTTAGATGTACACATGTTATGAATGACATTGTTCCATTTTACCGTTATGAGCAAATATGAGAGAGACAGTACGTATATGAATATTTTATCTACGAACTACCTCTTGCCCACATGCTCGTATGCGTGAATTTTGGATATAGTTAACCACTTAAACTATGCCTATAAAAATATGCCTATACGAGATTTGTGGTTTGACTTTCAGGAACAGGGGTCGTATTATGAACTCTTATTTCCAGGCAGATTACGGCGTAAATTGAATTGCCTTGTTTAGTCAGCGATCACGTGACAATTGAACGACGGAACAGTGGAAACTATATTCAATTTGGTGCAATAGTTTTTGCTTGATGGCAAAAAAACAAACATACAGACATAAAAAAATATTATTTTGACCTCTATTAATTACTCCTATTGCTGTATGTAAAACCATAAAGATAAATGATATGGGTAGAAGAGACACTCATGTAATTGTTTTTTAAGAGTGCACCAATCATTCTTAGGGCAGAACTTTTGTGCTAAATTTTCTTAAAAATCTCCTAGGACTTAATCTATGTTATGTAGTTACAATTTTATTATAGTTAGGTATGTAAATAAATGTATTAAGATAAATACTTTTACTAAACTAAATACTTTTTAGTATTAACTTCTAAAAAAATGTAAGTTTTGTTAATTACTAAACTTAGGAAAGAAGAACAATGGGGTAACTTATCGTTAAATGTGAACTCTGTTAGGCAATCTTTAAATGGAGAGATAATAATATAGTATATATTTATTTTTAGTTGTTATACATGAAAATATCGTACAAACATCATTATCACTATCTTGCTGTTTTTATACTTAATTTGTGTTCGATGTAATATGAACCAATATAAAAAAAATACGATACACTTTCTTTTTCTGTCAAAAATTACACTTTCTAGTCATTTGTTATTTTTGTGTTCACTTGTTTTTTATGCACATCATCTTTTGATGGAGTTTACATCGGAAATTCCGAGCATAGTGCTTTTTATAATTTGCTCAGTAACTTAATAATTACTATGTTGTTGGGGATCGAATCCACAACCAGTGGAAGGTAAGGCAGC